AGTTTTCTTTCAAAATTCTGTACTTTAAAAATCCAATGTGTTTTACTTTTTACTGACTTATATACAGTTTCCACTGCACATGCTCTTAAAATTAATTATAAAACCAACAGAACTAAAAGTCAGTATACACAAATACTTACTAGTTTCAGTAGCTACAATAGTTATGTTGTGCCACGTATTTGTTTCTCTGTCCAGTGGTGTTGCCAGAGTTATTTTCCCATCTTCTGCATTAATGTTGAACTGTCTCTCAAGGTCAGTATGCCGATCAATGGAAAACCTACAAAATAGACATCCCTGTAATCTACTTAATGAAGTTGGTGTAATCCATACAATCACAAGACAATTTAGGGAGCCCTCTGAGAGCTGCAGTTTTATAGCCAAATGGATTGAGAAGCTCGATAGCATAATACTTTATAAGACAAAATGAGAAACTGAGACTAAAAAAACTTAATAATTATTGCCCAAGGAGTAATTAGCTGTATACCCAGTGTGAAGGTCATAAAATGCCCTCAGGTTCACTGGGTAACATCTTTGAAAAACGGTGCTGATCAAGAGTTAATTACATAATCCATCACATTTATTAGACAGTTTCTATGGTATTTCACAGTAACTGATGATAATTTCAGCAGTAATGTATTAAGCACACAAAAATGGTGGGCTTCATGGTTGTTTTAAAAAGGGCTGAATAATATTATTTTACCAATAAATTTCAGATTAATGAAGCATGAACTATTCACCAAGCATATTATTTGGTTATGGTTCAAGCAGCTCCATGGGCAGAACGCAGTTAGTGAATCACCATTTTCCTATAAAACACTTCAAACACTGAAGGACTGATTGTTTTATGGATTGATATCACTGATTTTTAACAAAACAAGTTTCATCTGACAGGTAGTCAGGGTTTGCAAATGTGAATGTCCAGGTAAATTATGCAGCCTAAACAGAGCCAGCCTGACAACAAGAGCGAGCTGCAGTAGATTGCTCCAACAGCGCATTAAGCAGAATGATGATTTAAAGCTCAGAACAGAATCTCTAGGAAAGATTTCATGTTTGTCCATTTTCACAGTTATTTTACTAATGCATTATTCGCAAAGAGAAAGTAACTGACGAAATTAAGCCTTCCAATTTTTTGACAGGCAAGGTATGAAATGGGAGAGTTTAGTGATAAACTATTGATATGGTTCAACAAAAATTGACTTCAAGGGGTTTTACTGAATCCTAATTGTAGATTTATATAAAAGCCTTTTAAGACTCTGTGTCTATGTATTATAGAACCTAACAGCATGCACTGACAATTTTTACATCTGTTCTGCATTACGTCTGGGCATAATAGGGTGAGTTAGCATAGAGTATCAGGCTGGATTGCATTATACAGTGGTCAGAAAAGTGACTCAGACTGTCAGCTTCTCATTACATTTCTACTTTTTGCAAATACGCTGTTAAATTCACTGATAAAAGAACAAGAACATATTTTGCTACAGTGACAATGGCACAGTTATCTGAAAATCAGTTATTCCATTCTATTTTATGCTTTATCATAAGCAATTTCCAAAAAAATTTCTGATTTGGAGGTTCCTTTATATGCTACAATAAACACTCTGATGAACTCAAACTCATTCCAGCATAACACAATCGATTTTGATAGACATAGCATTAGGATCTGAATTCAAAGCTTAGGATTATGGTGTTCATCTTTTTTAATTTGTGTCAGATATTTTCATATTTAGAATGAAAGAGACATTGCAATTGAATTGCTTGTGCAATGCATTCAGTAAGATACAATTCACTTTCAAAAAATTTGTTCTAAATTATGAAAATTTATCAAAATCTTAAAGTTTAAATGTTTAAAGACTGTATTACTAAAGATCAAGCATGATCACACTGGTAAGGTACTTAACAACTAATGGACGTAAGAATGAAAACACCTGTTTAACTAGGAAATGGGATTTGTTAGACATTTAAGTTTTCTGGTTTTAAACTCTGAGAAGAACTAGTTTTACCCACTTAAAAACAAGTAGTTTGGTTAAGAAGAGTACCAGACAAAACATGAAGTAAAATTCCAAATATATGTACCTAAAGCTAGGCATGTGCATCTATATTTGGACATTTAAGTAAACTGATTTTCTAGTGAGCTCCACATACTCAGTTCTCAATGGTTTAATGGGAATTGTACTGTCCTCAGCATTGCTGAAAATCAGGTCACTTGTGTGGAAGAATAAAGCTGTAGGTGCCTAACTTCAGGCAATCATTTTTGAAAATGTTTCTTAACCTTATTTTGATGTCTCCCTAGTTCCAATTAAAGTATTAGAAGTAAAATCCTGGTACTAGTGAAGTTAGTAAAAAAAATCTTACAGACTTTCACGGGTTTAAGATTTCACTCAAGAAAATACAAGACAGACAGCAATCGAGATAACCTTTTTAAGATGTCATCACTTAAAACTATCTTTTAATTCTTGACGTTTATGTAATGATGCAGAAACAACTCTGCTGCTATCAAACATTTATGAAATTTTTACAGTCCACCAACGAAATAAAATATGAAATGCTTATATGCTATTTAATGTTTAGTTGACCCGGGCTTGACACTAATTCCATTGAGATAAGACACAGTTTTTCTCTAAGGATCAATCCTTTTTTAAACTTCCATTCACAGTCTTCCTGCGCTACATTTTTTAAGTTATAAAACTAGGAGAGCAACATCTGTGAGTTTATTCTATTGCATTTCATCTCATCCCAACAGTATTTATTTGCAATGCAAAACCAGCATTCAAAATGAAGCATTTTTAACATAAGTTACATGGCTTTACAAGACTACAAAGAGGTAAAACCCTCTCCTGATTTTAATTTGATAAATGTTTTGTACAAAAGTAAAAAATAAAATCTGCAGTGTCATAAACCTGGGAAAACTAATAGTACATTTGCAGTTTCCTTTTCATGATAATGGTATTGTAACTCTTTTTAATGGGAATGCATTGTCAGATCCATAAGCTATACATAAAACGTACATTTCTTTAAAAATGAGAGAAGAATATCTTGGGAAATAATCTTGTTTGAAATTGCCATAAACCCAGCACAGGTTATTGGAAAGTTTTGGTTAGTTTATGGGTCTGCTATGGCAATTATAGGAACAACCCCATAGTGGTTTAACAGAAGACTTAAAATGATTCTCAGGCCTGCCCCTGCACTCTTGCTATTGCTGTTATGACTTAATTTGATCTATTCTTTATTTGCACCAATGTAAACAAGATCAGAAATCCTTTTTTGCTGCACCTGCTGAGATCTGAATCACAGGACTGATACCTCATCAGTGGTAAATCACCATTGTTTATTAATGCCAGGCAGATCGGACATGCTACTTAGTGACAGATAAACAGCTGTACCATTAGGGAGGCAGAAAATAATCGTATCTAGGTTTTTAAGGCCTGCTGTGAATTAAGAAAATTATCAACTGCTGCCAAAGATGAAATCTCTGTCGATATGAATGGGGAAAACCTGCCACAGCAAAGCTTATCTCTCCACAGAGAAAGACACTGAAGGGCAGTGATTTATAGGAGGGCAGATACAGTATAGGAAGAAAGATTATTACCCATGCTTTTTTCTATGCACTTGGATCATGCTTTATCCAAGATAATTTACTGCAGACAAATAGACCGTGGTTATAAAATAACAACAGAAACATGAAATAAGTACTAGTAGAATCAATAGATTTGTATGCTAACGGATGATCTTTCAAGCCTAGTTATACTATAGGTGAGAAAGTACCACCCTTACTAAATAAACTACAGTAAAGCTTTACAACTAGCTTAGCTGAATTCACCAGGTCCCTTTCCCAAGAGGGATGCATGCAGTCTAGATGTGGTAAGATGTGAGCCACTGACGCATGCTTCTGAAATGACTAGGCTAGAATAAGACAAACTGCTGCCCATGCTTACAATTATTAGCCAAATTTGTAACTCCTTTTCACCATCAGGCTTAAAAGTGAGCCAGGCCCTTAAGCAACTTGCACAGCAGAATAGCAAATAAATATAAAAGAGAAATTTTGCTGCTTATTTTAAAAATACTGGGTTATGAAAGTTATGATATAGTTAGACTAACTTAACAACCAATATGAAGAGAGTTCATATTCATTGGAGAAATGGATAATGAAAGCACAGTTCAGCTGAATATCACATTATCACTTAGCCATTCAAAGATGCCTTTGCATGTCCACAATGAGGGCTCAACAACGAGAAAAGTCCCATACAACATAGGCATCCTTTAGTGCCATGCATCTAAAGGTGTCTAAATTTCTTTGGCTAATACAGAGATTTCAGGCTCACTGCCAAAACTCCACATTTGACACAAGACATTGCTAAATAACCCTCTTCAGGTATTTCCATAAGGTGGGCACATTCAGAACCAGACCGGTAACCTATCTATACACCTGCTTGTAAATCTATGATAGTCTTCGTACCTTTTAGATCAAGTGATGGGAAGATCAGAGAGTGTGTTTCATCTCTTCTAGGCAAGCATAAAAAACAAAGTACTGTTGTATTGGATAGAAATGAGGTTAATTTTTTTTAAAAGAAAGAAAACATAGAAGTTGTTTCTTTCCAGGCTGTTTTCTATAATAATTTTTCTAAATTCCTTAATGTTTTGTCTCATGACTCAATTATCAGACTATTTCCATGTTCAGACATATCCAAGATTTGTTTCATTTATGGTACTGCAATACTCTGAGTTTACTGAATCTTTGTGTGTAAGACTAATGTGCAGCAGATGTGGCACTGGTAGCACATAAGGATTCATATTTTCGTTTGTGTTGCTAGGGTTTTTATAACAAATGCACACAAAACCTCTGTCTAACCAAAATATTGATAGAACAGATATCTATTGAAAAACATAACTTCCTTGAAATGCAATTGGTCATTGTCTCCTAAAATTCTGTTTTAAAGAAAAAAATACATTAAAAATGGCCAGGTTGTATTAAAACAGTCCGTTTATTTTAGGACTGAACGTTTTAATTCTGTTTTTCGAATTTTTAAGTTATGTTTAGTATTTTTGAAAGTGTATCATAGAACATGTACAGAAAATTTACATCATATACATGGTACAATAACAGAATGAACACTTGAAATGCACAATCAAAATGAAACATTCTAATCCAACAAAACAATGCTTCCACATATTTTTGTTAGAACCTGCCATGTTCCAATTTTGTCCCGAACTGGAAAGAAAGTAACTGCATTTCTGCTCCCTACTTGTCTCTGATGAATATTTTTGCTCCCATAATAGTAGAATTACTAACTTGAAATCTCTTTTTTTTCTGCCTTAAAATGTTTTTCATGCAAAAAATGAAAAAAAGGAATTTGGACTTTCCAGAGCTATCCCAGATAAAGCCAAATTAATGAGGTGAGCAAACAAGAAAAAGAAAAGTTGCATAGAAAATTGAGCTCTATATATTCCTTAATTAGCTATCAAGCCAATACTGTAGAAAAATTAACTCCTTTAAAGCATTGCATATATTTTTAAAGAAGATCTAAATCACACTAATTAATTACCTTATTGTTTAAATGTAATGGATTTTGGCCAATTCTCTTTCATGTATATCAATTGTTTCTGTATGACAATAAGTAATAACATTCTGATTCAGTTTGCACGTATAAAATATTTTTGCTTTTAAAAGTTTGAAAATAACTTGGTCTATAAAATGATGAAAAAATGGAAGTGAAGTAAATATTTTACTCGGCTCAATTTTTTGGGCTTGGACAGAACAGAGAGGCTCAATTTTAGCCATAGAATCAGGTAGTCTTGTAGCTGGTCTGAATTGTCAGGAGTTTTGGACAGGACTAGAAAAGAATTCCAGGGAAACAGAACAAGACTAGAAAAATAGCCAAGGTAAAACTGCTGAAGCAGAGCTGAAGGCAGGCTGAGATGAGGAACAAAGGGGACATAATCAAGAGGCAGAGGAGCACAGGACCAAGCCAAGAGCAAAGCAGAACAGGGTAGAGGGAAGGAACTAAGGTTAAATTGAAAAAGAAATTACTATCGAGCTGGAATAAAGGGAAGAAAGCCAACTTGTTGCCACCATGGCTGGTTTCACACACCTTTCAGAAGACCCTGTCTTTGAAACGGCAGTGCAAGCCCTTTTTCACCGATGCCAGTGGATAGCAGTAATAAAATTAGGGACAGAACCACTGCTTAAATTGTGATAGATCAAACTCTGTGCATTCTATGTTACTTTTTTTCTATTTACGTAACATTTTTCTAACCTGGATATCTACCCTCATTTGTTTCCTATTTCTATGATCAGATTACCATCTTTGATCATCCTGAGAGCTTCTCTGGTAAGAAAATAAATTCGGTGCCTATTAATACTGTCTGGGTTGTGTGTTGCAGTAGAAAATATATTAATCAATTAATTTGTATAGAAATCTGTGATAGTTAACACTACGTTTAGCTAGTTTTGAAAGGATGATACAGAAACAAGAGACTCCAACATACCCTCCAACACCTTCATACACGAGTTCTAATACATGCAAACATGTTGGAAATTCTGCATTTCTAATTCTGAAAACACTAAAAGATGGCATGCAACATGTAGGCCCCCTACACAAAGGTTTAAAGTTTGGCCCTGCGACAAACCTGATGTAAATGACGATGATTAGAAAACGGTCTTAAGTGATAGATTATAACAATTAGTATCATCCTCACAATGCTGAAGACTGCTTGCACAGCTTAAATTCCCTAAGGCAGTAATGTACAGTGATGATTATTATTAAACAGACTCTCTCCAAATATACCTTTACTATGAATTTGACGTTTTGATGTTTGTTTTCATAATGCTCTTAGCAGACAGTACTATACAGAGCAAAATGTCTTTTGGGAACACTCGCATCACACCATAGTAACCATTAGAAAGGGGGAGAGGAAGATGTGTGCTCATCAAAATGAGGTAGAAAACACTGATCTGATGAAACTCGAATAACAGATTTTGTTCCAGTTACATCAAAAGGGAAAATATCGTAAATCGAAGATGCAAAAGTCATATGGGCATAATCTTCTCTGACTTTCTATCTTTAAACCAGGAATGGGTTTAGCCAAAGGAATACAAAATATGTTTTGACAACCTTACAACTACATGGAACAAACTCAGTATTGTTAGTGCAGACACTAGCGGATTATTTTAAATAACTGCAGAGATACACACTGATGGTTCAACCCCATCCGACCCCATACACCCTATTTCTTATTTTTATTGCATTCCTACTGTTTCATAAGACTAGTCGTGTGGCAAGGAGCATTCCTGTGATTTTGAAAATGATCTGCACTGATAAATCTAACATCATAAAACAAATCCTATACAAGTATTTTCACAGAAATGAAACGGCACGAGAATGGTGTCATACAATGTACAGGAAAACATACTTAGTATTCTGCCAGTAGTTTTTTCAAAGAGAACTTTAAAACAGCCCTACCTTATAGGACTGGAAGACACGTCAGGGTCATGGGCAGTCACCTGACCAATCACAGAGTTGACAGCAGCATTTTCATGCACTTCCAGTAGGTAAGTAGGTGATGAAAAGACTGGTGGCTCATCAGCATCCTCTACTACAATTTTTACTGTTGCTGTATCCTTGAATGGTCCTCCACTGATGAAGCGAGGATCAATATGAACGTTGGCTGCTTCTACCTTCAGAGTATAGGATTTTTTGGTCTCAAAGTCCAGTGGCTGTTAAGAATGACAAAGATAAATGTCTTTTACTAATAGCCACAGAGAAAGAACAAATGAATATAATGCTGATGGATGAAAGTTATATGCATTTAAGAACATTCAGTGAGTTTTAATGCAATCACTTCCCACTCCCAGAAATCCAACCTGCAAATTTTCTAGGCACATATTGATAGCTGTTTATTAACCAGCCTCAGAGAAAACAAGACTCTTTGTTTTCTTGCTTTTCACAAGAAATTTACCAAAATATTCTCTCTCATGAATTATACCATTACAATTACATATCAGATAAATACTACAAATTTGTTGGTGATGACATGACTTGCATACTAATCATGCACTTAATCAGTGCTTTGTTAGTTGGAGATAAGAAAAAAAATTATACTAGCTCCACAAAGAATAAATATTTTATTACTTCCAGAACAATGTGAGAAATGCAAAGAACTAGTAATTATTATTTGTTGGACGCGAGAGGCATTATGTGGAAAAACATAGAGCTAATCATCTAAGAAAGTACTTTCGTATTATTGCACTTCAGGTAACCCTGCGTTTCTGTTTATAGGGGTAAATGAGGTAGACATCTCTCAGGAATTTCTTAAAACTGTAGCAATTCCTATTTCTGTATCTTATTTTTTTTTCAGAGAGAGAAACACGAAACCGATTACTTTATTCTGTCAATATACCTGCCATGTCACCATTGTTTTTACTGTTTTGCGGTTCCATATTAAAACATAAAAGATGAAAACACAGGGGATTTAAAGGAATGAAATACCAAATCTGTGACACTTTCGAATATTAGAATTTTTCATTATAGGAGATTCAAGTTTGTGTCTTGAAGCATGTCAGTATATTCACTATATAATTCTCTTGTGTCTCACAATGATTCAAATTTCAAAGATGCAAATTGCCAAGCATTGGAAAGATATTAAGATTTGCATTACAATGTCCCAGGGATAAAAAGAAAAGGACATAGAAACTCTGAATCTGCAATGCAAATACCAGCAAGAGCACAAATAGGGACCTTCAGGAAGTCTGTCAAAGCCTTCAATATGTATACTTTCAAATTTTGTTGATTTTTTTCAGGTATGAATCAAGCTCTAATGGGATTTGCTCTTTCTCATGAATTCTAGTAAACATGAGAAAACCTTGCTTCTTTAGCAGCTCTTAAATTAGTAAGCTTTTGTAATTATGAATGGTGATTTATAAATCAGCATATTCACAATTTGCCAATCATAGCTCCTATATAATTTTTTCAATTGCTTTTCATATGCTTTACAGAAATGACAGCACCCCAATACATTTAGTCATGCTTAATCAGAATATCGTATTGAAAATTACTCTGCATTGTCTAAAACCCATGAATTTATGCTGGAGAAAATCTGTTGGTGAACAGTACCCTCCATACATCATCTACTGTAGTAGAACCAAAATGATTATTGCTGTCAAAATGAATATATGAAACAACATTATGTTAGAGACTCAGTTATGAAATAAAGCCAAGGGAACTGGGGCAAAAGGCTAATTGCCTTAGTTTACGAAAGAGGCCACAGCATACAATAAATAACAGTAAGAAAGATCGGGGATATATATCATAATTTTCTCTTCAGGAAAACAGATCTAAATTAAGATAAATATACATAATTTTATTATAGATCTACAGTGCTGACCTACTCGCTGAGAAACAGAAAATATAAACTTTTGACAGGTACTCTGCCTGACCTCTTTAATTACAGGTACAAGTCGAATATTAATTACCTGTACTCATTGGATTCTTCTTTGTTCACTGGAATGTCATGGTTTGTTTTGGGGTTTTTTTTTGTTGGGTTTTTTTTTGGTTTTTTTTGTTTTTTTTTTTAAATAACCGAAGATTCCTTTAGAGTGCTCTATGCTACATATTTAAAACCCTCTATGCCAGTGTTATGTTCTATTCAGATCGTTTTTCAAAACACAGCATAAGAATCGGCTCCCTTCTCCTTCCCCAGAAAATAACGAAAATTAAATCTGCAATTAATGTTTCATTGACTTTTCTAGCCAAGTTCTGTTCTAGCTACGCTGTCTCTCCCCATATTTCTGTACATAATCAGGTGGTCCTTCTGTTGTGTACATGCAAATACCTCATCTTGCATACATCAAGACTGTACAAGCATAGAAAAGGTAACAGAGTTGTAGCCTTCTTTAGGGCCCGAATTTGGCACTTCTCATGTGAAACAGTACTGATCTCCTTGATAAGGTTCACTGAAATCACTATTCATTGAGCAAAGAAAGTTCAACATGAGAAAAGGTGGAAGACTAAGTCTCTCACACATCAGTTAATTCAAATAATACACTATGTTTTGTTTTTTTTTTTCTCTGAACAGTATTTGACCAGCTATACAGCAAATTAAAGAATAGAGAAAAGGTATTTGATGAATACTCAGCCAATATTTTATGGAAGTTTACAGTACCAACAAAGCAGATTCTAATCTACTCTTCTTCTTTGGAACCAAGGAAGCAAAACCTGTATGATTTGACCACGTGGAAGCCCAGATAAGATTAACACATTCCCAGCACCAAAAATACTTCCATGGTGGTCTCCCCAGTTGTCACCTACATGGCAATTTTGAGGGACAAGGCTAATACATCCTTTTTTTAACACTTCACTGGCTTGACACCTCATCCATAGATAAAAGAATGCTTGGAAATCCAGCATCTTCTCACAGAGTACAGTCTGGCTGGGTAGTCGTATGTACAATAAACATTTTTTTTTAACAGAGATACCATTTACCTTTCTCACTCTAATAATGCCGTCCTGAGTTTGGGCATCTGTAGTAATTTCAAATATATCCATTCCATCTCCTTCAATAATATCATAGGATGATTTAGCATTTTCTCCAATATCCAGGTCATTTGCTTTCACCCTTCCTACTGGTTCACCAAGAGCAACATCTTCCATTACTGAGAAGTGATACAGACCTTACAAATAAGAGGAAAAGACTAAACATTACACCTGATTCCAGTATCTTTTGTGTGCTCTTCATTTGTTTACACTTCCCCAATGCAAACTCTTGAGATGTGCAACTGATACAAACCACATTTACACAAGTTATTTACTGAAAGCAGCAAAACGTGTTCCTTATATAGGAATATTCAGTTTACTGTATGTGAATGTTCTTTTCATTACAGTAGTATCCTGCTTCTTCCTTGCAGGGATGCTTAGTGTCGGCAAACATAAATATTAAGCTACTTTCCACACGGAAAGTATGCAACATTCTCTACTGGAGACACTGTTGAACTTACCATTTTATTTATGGTCGTACTTAGAATTCAACTATGAAACTTTGGCTTTTACTCTGTAGAAAAGTGGTCTAATACTTTAAAGATACCTTATACAATTTCAGATCTTTACTACTTTTTTGACCCTTTTAATTTTATTTGGTTTTGTTTGTTTAACCCCTTCCACCTCCCTTTTGTGGTAAGAAGCTAATTAAGAAACATTCAAGGAAACTCCCAGAATTTATGTTTTCAAGGAAACCATATCTTTTCATAGCAATCATTACTGTATTTACTATTTGGTTGTAGGGTTAGACTAAGATCTACTAGAAAGTGCTGTTCAAATTGTCAGCATTTTTATTATTTATCATACTTGCTTCAAACCTTCTGACCTAAGAAGTTTCAAAAACCTATTTAGAACTTGTAGTATGTTATTTTAGGTAAGCATTTTATGAAGAGAAAACTCAAAATACCATTTTACTATTATATATCCCACTTCTTTACAGTTCTCTGAAAAACAGAAGACTCATGCTTTACATCAAAAATTCTTTATGGGGTGCCTATTTTTTTACCTCTTGGTAATTTACACTTATTGAAGCTACAGTTAATATGTGATGTAAACAACTGCAGTGCTACTTAGTAGTTAAAATAGTCAAAAGGAATTCAAGGTTAGCAGATGAGACCATCAAAATAGCTTTTGACAAAGGGTTCTGGACTTGTTCTCTTCTCTCCTCACAATTGTTCTAAGAAAATGTGCAGTTTTTACTGTTATGTGCAGCTAGTAGCTTTCTAAAACCAAAATGTTCTGGAGTTGTTCCTTCAGCTGGTTGTAGGATGACTGCAGTATCAACAGTTGGAAGTAAACTGTGAGGAATTCACAAATACATATATTAGCTATACACATAGTCTATCCCAAAGTGATTTTTTTTTTCCTTTAATGTTTCTAGGCTAAATTATTAGAGACAATTTGGAGATCATCAAGATTCCTCAAGAATATTCATAATGGCTCACAAACAATGAGCAGCCAAAGCAATCAAGTGCCTCAGGAGACTAAATTATGTGTTCATAATTTATACTGCTGTCCACACTTTCTGGTTTGAATCTCCAGACACAGTTGATTGCATTTTTAAGCTGGTATTTTTCTCTCAGATTTATTAAGATAGTTTACAAAATATGGTAAAAAAATGTATTATGATGCAGCTGACTCTTTTATACAAATGACTCTCAAGAATTATGAATTGTCCTGTCAAGATGTCATAGTGCAGAGCTGACCAAAAATCCACATTACGCATCTTTGAAAACCCTTGGTTTTCACAGCAGTGCACAGTTCTCGGTACAATCCTACGGTAAACTGCCAGGTTAAAAACTTCAGTGACTTATAAAACGCCTCTAAAATTATTTCAAAGAGATCATAGAAGTAGTGAAAGTTCATCTTTTTCATTTCTAAAGCCCAGGAGGCTAACACTCTTTGAAATCAAACCATAAATACACATTTCTGTCCTGCCTGGAAACAATAAACCGATAAAACACACTGCTTTCCGAGTTCATTACAATTTACTGTGAAAGCAGCATGTATTACATCTTATGAATTTCTATTTCATTCTGGTTAGGCTCTATTGTAAGTTTGATCCTTTCTTATTTTCCTTTCCAGGCAAATGCAAACTGTGCTTCAATGGTGTAAAAAAATGTTAAAGACTTGATCAGCTCTTGTATGAGGCCAGAGTCATGACTAATCTGTAATGCTAGGTAGCATGCTATGAATGCTTATTTTAAACGGTAGAATTAACATCCAGTTATAATATTTAGTATGGCTCATCCTCATTAAATGCAATATATACACAATACAAAGTTATAGTACATGCAAGTTTTTTTCTAATGACAGTGCCTAATGGCGAGTGTTACAACAGGGTGGTTATTCCTAGATGGTAGCTTGAATTCTGCACTGGAATGCACTAGCTATAACAGCTTCAAAGACAACTCACTCTTTGTTGAAGGAAAACTAATCTACATTTTCCATGCAAAGAATATATTTCAGGGTTCTGTGATGAAGTCTTCTTCATGCTACCCAGCCAATGTGTCACTGTATCCATACTACAGGAAAACAGATACGAGTAAACTGCACAGGGAAAGTACAGTTTCATCTCTGCATGCATTCGCTCCTGTGCTTCCTGCTGAGACCTCCAGCATGTACCAATTAGCACCGGCTGTGTCGCTGATTTTCTGATCAGCTTTTTTCATACTGACAGGTGAAGGTTTTTTCGAGACAGAAAGTGCTGATACAAATACAAAAGCCAGGTAAGCTGGCAAAAGTAGATCTGTAGTCACAGTTAGAGCTACAGTACATCGCAGGTATAAAAAGAAATGTTCCTCTGCGTTCTGGTGATACAGTTCAGCCAGGAGTCTCATCTATAGATGTTTACATTATTAGGGAAATTGTCATCATATGTTGGAAAGCCCTACTACACAAGTGCAAGCAATGCGATATGAAGTAAAAAATTTATGCATTTCTTATTTTATAATGAGAGAAAACCTTTTACTGTGCACAGAGTGTTTATCTGTTAAAAACCACTAAGATGAGGTAATAAAATATATATTTTGCAAATAAGCTTTTACCTCTGCTTATTTATTTTATATTTTTTCTCTCTCTTTATGTGTATGTGCATTTTCTAGACTGTAGGAGAGTATTTATCACATGCTGAATACTAGGACAAACCCATTTCACTCTTTGCATCTTCAGAACAGGGCAAAAATGGATTTCAAGTCACACAAATGTGGAAAAGAATTAATTTTACATTGAGTGCCTAAGTACCTTGTTAGAAAAACATGCTGCTAATAAAGTAAAAATGATACAAAGTCTAGAAGAACATCCTCCAACTCCCAACCAGACTTTTAATACCTTACAACTTTAGTTTTTCAGAACAAGCTGGGAAAAAAGATAACTTTCTAATAGTGCATTAGACTGGACCTGTTCCAAATAAAATCAATCTAGTCATTATGCTCTTCCCTCTTCTTTTTTTGTCTTCATCTTTGAAATAGACTACAAAGCTTGCAGAGAATCTCAGCAGGATGCCAAATCATTTTAACCTAGCCCAGCAAGATATCCACTGGAACCACAGTAGTAAATATAGATTTTGAATTAAAGATCAACAATTATCTAGACTCAGACTTATTTTCTTTGTTTTCTTCACTATTACCTAATTAGTTAAACCTTTATTTCATCAGTTATATATGTCTTTTAGCAGTGGTGTCATTTTTCTGCATGAGATGGAAGCACATATAACAGCAACTAAAACTAGCACTTAGAAACAACTGCACTGAAAGCAAACAAATATATGAAAAAAAGTCCCCAAGCCCTTTCATGTGGATGTAAGAGGGGTAACAAGGAAGACAGAGAGCTGTGTACACTGTTGTGGATGTAATTCCCCCTTCCCTAAGCTCTTAATCAGGCAGAGGACTATTAATCTTTCTCTAGTAGCAGCTACCTATTTTTAAATTACATTACAAACCCAAGCAATATGATAATAATAATAAAAAAAAAAGAGCTTGACAGAAAAAAAAGCACTGTATTACTTTCTTATATAGGAGAACACATACACATAATGGCACTTACTCTGTGCAAACTTAGGAGGATTGTCATTAACATCAGTGAGTGTAATTGTCACTGTTGTAGTTCCAGAGAGTCCACCCATATGTCCTCCCATGTCCTTTGCTTGGATGACCACAAAGTATTCTTCTTTGGCTTCTCTGTCCATGTTGGGAAGAGCTGTTTTAATTATAGCTACAATAATGGGGGGGAAAAACGTCAGGTACAGACCCAAATTCAGTTTTGCAGCTGCTTTTATGGATATATGTAAATATTGGCAGAAAAATTGAACTGCTAAAGGTCCAGTTAAGTTGCCTGTTAGTACCAAGGATAAAGAAGAATTTGAGATTTTCAAAAAAGTATATTAGAGGTCACCTACCTTGACTGAATTAAAAGTGCAATAAAATTGTGGTTCAAAACCCAAGAATTAATCATACCTGTGATACATATTAATTCTATATTTTTTTTTTCCTGATGAACATTTTGGTTTCTGTCCTACCTCCCACAGAAATCCATCATTTCCCCACAGAATTCACAAAGAGAAGACAACCACATAGTAAACTTAATCTGTAAACACTGTTAACCATATCTTTCAGATTAATTGTTTCAAATATTTTAAAACCCAAACCATTATTTAATCTGCTCTTGCAGGCTACAGTTCTTCCTTTAAGTCCTAAATCGAGTGCCTAAACTTCTACTGGAGAATGACAGCATGTCTTTCAGTATGTCTTTTGGCAGTCACCAGTACTGCAAACTCCTAAAGTCACCCCACTGTCCCTACTGTAGAAGGGCCACTTGTCGGACAATGATCTCACTAGGCTGTTATCACCTTGTCCTGGTTTTGGCTGGGACTGTGGTGGTTTGACCCTGGCTGGATGCCAAGTGCCCACCAAAGCCACTCTATCACTCCCCTTTTCACCTGGACAAGGGAGAGGAACAGCTAGCAGCTTCTCACAGAAGCCACCCCTACGTCCCAAGAGCCAATGCCAGCCAGCTCCAAGATAGCCAATCAGCGACAGTGGTAGTGCCTCTGGGGTAACATATTTAAGAAGGGGAAAAAAACCCAACCCCAAACACTGGGACACAAACTGCAGCTGGAGTGAGGAGTGAGAATGTGTGAGAGGAAGGACTGTGCAGCCACGCAGGTCAGTGCGGGAGGAGGGCAGGAGGGGCTCCAGGCACCGGAGCAGAGATTCCCCTGCACCCCTGGTGCAGCCCCTGGGGAGGCAGCTGTGCCCCTGCACCCATGGAGGCCCACGGGGGAGCAGAGATCCCCCTGCACCCGGGGAGGAGCCCACGCCGGAGCAGGGGGATGTGCCCCAAGGAGGCTGTGACCCCCTGGGAAGCCCACGCTGGAGCAGGCTCCTGGCAGGAGCTGTGGGGCCATGGAGAGAGGAGCCCAGGCTGGAGCAGGTTTGATGGCGGGG